CCCCCCCACGGCCCCCGGCAATCCGGGCACTCCGCCCCCCACGGCCCCCGGCAATCCGGGCACTCCGCACCCCACGGCCCCCGGCAATCCGGGCACTCCGCACCCCACGGCCCCCCGGCATTCCCGCCGCCCCGCACCCCTCGCCCACCTGCAGCCGGGACGCGGACGCCCCTCCTTCCCAGCCAGCGGGTGCGGGCCCACCCCGGGAGTCCGGCGGCCACACTTACCCGCACAAAGACCACCACGGCCCGGCGCTCCCGGAACAGCGCGCCGAACGGTACGGGCTTCCCGGCGGCGTCCAGCACCGGCAGCGCGGCCACGGCGTCCGCCAGGGGCTGCCCGCACTCGGAGCCGGCTGGAGCTGGGGTCGCCGCACAGCCGCTGACCTGCCGCGTAATCGGAGCGGCCATCCCCGCCGGTCGCTGAGCATCCAGGGCCGCTTCCTCCCCACACGCACCGGGGGGACCGCGGGCGCCTCGGCCAGGCCCGGCGGCGGCGGCGGCGGCGGCGGCGGCGGCGGCGGCGGCGGCGAGCTGGGGAGCGGCGGGCCTCGAGGGGCGGGGCATCCGGGGGCGGGGCTGGAAGCCTGATTGGAGGGAAAGGGGGCGGCGCCTAATGGGAAGGGCGGGCCTAGTGAAGGGGCGGGCGGAATGGGGGGCTGTGAGCCTGGTAGAGGAAGCAAACAGGCCAGAGGGGTGGGGCCTCGCGTGGCCTCGCGGGGCGGGAGGAGCGTGGCCTGCAGGCAGAGCCAGCGCTGTGAACCTCGAGCGGACCTGAGCCTAGAGGGGGGACGGGCTCGTGGGGCCGAGTCAGCTGTGGTCCGCGCTCGGGAGGGGGCCGCTCCGTCCCTCCGTCCGTCCCCCGTCTCCTCCGTCCCCTCCCGTCCCGACCCCCGTCCCCTCCCGTCCCCCCCCCACCCCTCAGTTCCCCCGGAGGTGAGGTCAGGGAATCTCTGCCCAGTTGTCCTCCTGCGTACGGGATGGTGGGCGCAGCGGCTCAGGATGGGACGAGGGAGGGGTCCCTTGGGGGCCTTGTGGAAAACGCCAGCCCTCTCCAAGTCCCGGTAGCCCGGTGGGTCACATCCGAGCCGCGTCCCCAGAGAACGCCAAGCACCGGCCCGTGGGTCACATCCGAGCCGGGTCCCCAGAGAACGCCAGTCCACAGCAAGCCCTGGTAGCCCGGCGAGTCACATCTGAGTTCCAGCTGCTGCGAAGATCCACAGCCCGGCCAAGCTGGGCGAGAAAGTTCTCCGGACTCCCCACCCTCCTCCCTCCCTCCCTCCCTCCCTCCCTTAAGGCTGACTTCAAACCTCTGTCCTCTGCATCTCATGAATAGCGCGAATTACAAGGACAATCCACGTAGCACCTGGTTACTGGTTCATTTTTAACCCAGTTCACTGCCCTGAATTCAGGTACTTTTGTTGTTGTGTGCGTGCGCGCGTGCGTGCACGGGTACCAGGGCTTGTGAAGGGTTGACCTCCACCCATCACACCAGGCGCCTCGACGCTGGGCCCAGCCCTGCTCTACCCCAGGCAGGGCAGGCCGACCG